TTATTATCTTCACGGGAGGAGAAGGTTTTATATTCCTTCCAGAGCCCACTGCGGTGTGCAGAAGGGTCCTGCTCTGTAGGCCATCCCAGCTTTCCTGAAGGCGTCTGTATTCCCGGCCCAGGAATACAGGGTCTCTGTTCCGATGTGCGTATTCTCCCTGGAATAGCGATCTGTAGCCTGGCACAGGAACCCACCGCGGGGCTGTCTGGGGCTGGGCGGGCTAGCGCCAGGACTCGGTAGCGTGTGTTCCGCGAAGACCCGCGCGGGGAGCTGCACTGCACCCAGTGGGGCTGGGAGGCCGCCGCGCCAAACCCCTGGCAACGCGGTGTGCAAATCAGTCGTGAGCAGGGGGCGGGAGGGGGGACCCCACGTCCACGACGAGGGCCTCCCCACCACACAGTCCAGGCTGATCTCCACGGGTGGGGGTGGGTAGGGGCGGGAAGCCATCGGCTTCACGAAGTGACAAGGCCCTTTTATCTTTAACCAAGTTCAGTCTCGCGCTCGCGATGGTCCTTTTCTTTGGAGCTCCCGCGGGGCGACCGGTTGTCGGGGGCGTTGGGAACCCGCGAGGAAGGAGCCGCGGGGCCGACCCGCAGGGCCGCCTCGGGAGCGCGGGTCCGGGGCCTTGGCGGGCAGAGGCCGCCGCTCGCCAAGCGCGAAGGAAGTCACCGCCAATTAGAGAGGTGGCGCCCACGACCTCGCCGCGCCGCGGCGCAAGGGCTGCGGAGCCGCAGACCCGAGGTCCCGCTCCTCCCTAGTCGGCTTCCACTAAGAACTTATTAAACAGGGGCGGTTTAGGGTTGATCTGTCACTGAGCACTACTTACCCGGAGATCTTTTAGTTTTTGAATTACTTTATTGATCTGAAGATTTTGTTCTTTGGAATGTGACCCTATTTGGATTTAGAGCTAATCAGGAAACGCTGCCGGGGAGGGCTCTTTGTAATCACCTCCGGGACCTCCCCCGCGGGCGCCGCCGACCTTTCCCCCGCGCGCCCCCTGCGGTCGCCTGGGCTCTGCCGGGAACCAGCCCGGCCGGGGCCCCTAGCTCAGCCGCTCGACCTGGGAGCTGTCTGTGGTGCTAGGAGAGAGAACCCGGAGAGGGAGACCCGGGGGACGAACCAGGAGAGGAAGAGAAGAAAGGAACTGAGAACGCGACGCCGACCCAGACGGTGCACCAGCCACACTCAGACTGACGGAGACCTTCAGAATTCAGCTAGAAGGAGGGGAGGATAAATTCTCTTCTGGGTCACCTCATCGCCCCGAGACAGCTGACCTGATTTTCCAATGCAAGAAGCCAGTAACACCTCCCACTTTGTGAAAGCACACCCCTCACCCCACACACTTACCCTCACCCAGCCCTGAGGGTGTTCAGCGTGCTAGAGGTAAGAAAGGAGGGGCGCTGATCACGGAGAAGCCCCCAACTCCAGGGAAAGACACAAGTGATGGAGCAGGCTGGATGGAGTGCACCAAGGAAGAGGGGCTGGGCAAACACTGCGCGAGAAATTCAAGGAGCCTGAGAACATCCTTGCAAGGTCCGTGGGGTCAACGCTGCAGGAACGCCGGCTCAGCACCCGCCACACCTCTCTCTAGTCAACAGCCAGAGCGCGCGGGGCAAGCTAGCTTTCCCCCAGCAAGGATTCGCAGCGGCAGAGGAAATATCAGTTCCCTGCGAGGCTTGGCCTTGCCCCTGACCGTGCCCACTAGTGGTGAAAGTCGGTTTCTTTCCAAGCATGTTGACTTCAAGCCCTGCCTGGCTTTTTCAAAAATCAAGCCGTTCTCTTCCAGTATATTTTTGTAACCACGTGGCTTAGCAAGAACTAAAGTTTCCCTAGCCCTGGGGAGAGCTTTTCCAAATATTTTTAGAAAGTTAAAAATATAACAAAACAAACTACTCACAAGCCGCCTGTTTAAAAGAGGGAGACGGGATTCTGCCGACTCCCGGGGAAGGGTTGCCTAGGCAGGAGTCGGCTGCCGGGGAGGGAGGAGGGAGGAAGACTTGGTGTGAGGGTAAGAGGTTTTATTTGCAACAGAGGAAATTGGCTGTCTAATTTGCCATGGTGTGGCCTTTCATTTTAAGGGGTGGAGCAAAAATAAGCTGATACAGGCTGGTAGGTATATTTGCTGGAGGCGCGGAGCCAAGCAGCAGTAGTTTACTTTGCAACTCATTGAAGATCACTGGGTTGGGCTAGAATGGCTGGCTGCAGCCAGATACTGTAACTTCCTCCTTAACACTCAACTACAGGTTTCCGCTAGGTGTGCTAGGGTTCCCGGGCTGCTCTTGGGCTGGGCTCAATCTGAGAGGTGTTTGTGGAGCTTAAACGTCTCTCTGAAATAAGTTCACTTCCTATTGGACACAAAGAATGCCACTGAAAGTCTGTGTTCTGTCAGATTTCAATTTAATCACAGGAGCAACCCAAATGGAGTCCAGCCATAGATCGCCCTTCAGACACCAGGTGAAGGTTGGAGAAGAGTGGGACCTCTGGAACTGGAGAGCTCCCAGGAGAACAGGCATGGGGTGCTCCCCTCTCCTCAGAAAACCCTGGAGCTGGTAGTGGTGCTTCTCTAGAATGCTGGCCCAGCACTAGCAAAACTCTGGGTTTGATTTCTGCCAGAAAGGGTAGGGGGATATGAATGAATATCTAACATTGCTCTCCTGACCTGTTAATCAACCCCAGGACTCTTTGTGAGGAAAAGGACTAGGTTTGACTTTTAAGCAGTACTTTGAGGGCTTTTGGGTATTAGGGCACCTGCTAAGGTGCCCTTTGCAGCACTCCTGCAGAAAGAAAAGGATGAAAAGAAGGAACACAGTACCCTACTTTCTTCCAGGGACAACCTCCACTCCTCACCCCTTCCACCCAAACTTCACTTGCTAACTTGTATGCAATAGCAGATTTAGAAAGGGAGGAGAGACACTTTCAACTGCATGAGTTAGGGTGTGTTAAGAGAACATGACTCTGAAGACAAGGGGGGGCTCTGATGTATCGAGTAATTACTTGCAGCCATGAAATATGAGGTTAATTCCAAAGCTTGCTCTCTTAGGCAGTGCCCCTCTCCACTGACTGACTAGGACCCCAAGTTCAGTGTTGAGAGGGAAGCAGCAGCGCGCAGACTCCCTAGCAGGGAGCAAATGGCAGAAAGTGGGTGCTGTGGCCTTGCTTGGGTTTGTAGGTTGGTTTGTGCATTTTCCTCACCTGGACCTGAGGTAATTCTTGATATGGATTCTTTGTGTGAACTCTGTGGGCGTCCAGGTCTCCCCTGTGCCAAAGTGGACCAGCTGAGGTCCAGTGCAGGGCAAAGCTGTAACATCCTCAAGCCTGGGCAAGAGCCCTTTTAGGCCTAGGCAAACTGCTGCGGACTACTGAAATTTGATTTTAAAAAAAAAAAAAAAAAGCACGACCGCGAAGATGAAGCCAGGAGGGTCCACTGAGTGCCCAGACATTAGGCATCCCTGCTGGACATAGCTTCACCCGTTTCCAGCCAAGCCCAGCTGCCCAGCTGTCTGAGTCTGTCCCAGCTCAGCAGGCACAAAATGAGAAGAGCCAGTCCAGACCCTTTTGTTAGAATCAAAGAAGACCAAGACCGTTTTTTAAAGCAAATTGATGAGCTGGGGAGAGATCCGCAAACCACTCCCTAATTAGCCAAGGTCTGATCAAGGCGCCTGAGGCAATTTCCTCCTGGATTTCACCTCTTTCTTTCCTTCTTCCATCTCACTCCTTAACTTTTATTCCCACACCACTCCACGTGTTCAAAAAACGTTTTTAAGTCTGTTAAATAAGGTTCAAGCATCAGAAAAAGTTGGAGACCTGATCCTAGATGTTTTAGTTGCTTACTACCCTCACCGCACACACACACATACACTGCACCAGGGCAGAAGTAAGGATCTGGGTGTGAGGATACTAGAGCAGGTGCAAAGGCAGAGGTGATAAGATCCGAATCAGCTGCTTAGGAAGTGACCTAGGGGCTGGAGAGGAGTGCCAGCACCTCCCTAACTGCACCCTCCACTTACAACACTGAGCACTGAGTTCGGTAGGGAGTCGGCCTGGCCCAGGGCCGTGCAGCCGGCAGTCAAGCCCCAGCCTGGAAGCTCCGAACATTTGTACACACACTCACACACACACTCACACACACATAGAAAGTAGACAGGAGCCCTCCCCCACACACTGGACTAGGTCTCTATACTTTGGGTCCCAGCCGGTCCAGAGGCGCAGATAAAAGGCTTGGCGTGCCTGTCTCGGCCAGAGTTCGCCCTGGTGTTCCGGCTCCTGGCATCGGAGCACAGCGAACTCGCTAGGACGTGCCGCTTGGTGTGGTGCGGGCGACAGAAAGTCCGCCGCAGGACGGAGAAGGCAAGGATCAAAGCCACGACAAGGGTTTGTTAGCGGGGCCTCTCCGCGTCCCCCAGGGCGCCCTAATTGCTCACCCCGCAGCCTCCCGCTCGCTCGCTGGCAGGCTGTCCGGCTGCGCGGGCGGCCTGCCGCGGGCTGCACAACAGCTGCGAGGCCGGGCGTCGCCACCCCACGCCCGGGACCCTCGGCGCCCCGGGAAGACCCGGGAGGGGGAGGGGCGCCCGAGGGATCCCCGCGCCGAGCTGGGGCCTCCGGGCAGGCGGAGGAAACCGGCCAGCCGCCCAGTAAGCCAGGCTACAGCCCAGAGAACAGACTTCCTCCCGAGGCTTCGGGGCTGCTGCGAAACCGTGCACTTAAAAAGAGAGGCGCCCGAAGGTAACGAAGAGTCGCTGGAGAGGTCAGCATGAAAAACGGAGCTGTTTTTATACAAACCAACCCACCGTTGTAAGGATTTTGTAAATTCCTAATATTCCAGAGGGGATACTTTTATTCCCCCTAACCAAGTCGCACATTTAGTCATAGTATGTACAACTGCTTTAGTGAAATCAGCTCCCTGGGATTTCATCGCTTGTTAAAAAAAGATAAACTTTATTTTTGTAATTTTCAATCACAAAAAAAATCTATATTTTTGTCTAAGCATTTATTTTACTCAATCAAAAAGACATGAAAAGAAAAATCATGTTTTTACTAACGTATATAAGTGACTCTTTTTTTGGACAACATATAATAAATATGATATATCACTTATCACTCAGTCTTTCAAATGTACATTTTTTTTTCATATTATGGAGCATGCCACTTTTCCAAAAGAAAAAAGGTCATGAGAAATCAGTGCAAAGTTCTCAGTCACCCTCCTCTTTTCTGTGGGGCAGACGAATATCCACAGCAAGACCTTCTGCCTGCTAATCTGAGGCTGGCAGTCCACCTACAATTCTCTCTGCCCCATCTTCCTCTCCATGCCCTTCCTTCTTCCCGCCTTAGCCCTCCCCCCTCCCTCCCTCCTGCTTGTCCCTAAAGTCGTTTTTAAAAAGAACTTGAGGTTTTGTTTTTGTTGATGTTTTCACTTACTGGTTTCACTTTGTGTGGGGTCAGCGTTTCACCAGTCACACTGCTGGGGGAGCCTTCCAGCCCTGCCTCTGGGGTGGGGATGGAGAACAGAGGCTGGCTCCTCTTTGGGGCCCCCCGCCCATCGGTGAGGGTCTTCCTCTCTTACTCCTCTGCCTCCCGGGGTTGGCCGCAAGGGAAGCCTGGTGTGGGGAGAGGCAGGGCAGCTGTCCAGGTTGGGGCCGGGGACAGGGAAGGACGCACTGCCTTCCCTCCTTCTTCACCGGGGATGTGGGGTGCCTGGGATGGGGTTGGACAAGGGATTGAGGGCCGGCTGTCCCCCTGGCCCGAGGCCATGGATGAGCACTCTGGGCACCAGGGGCCGCTGCAGCTGGGGATGGGGTGCTGGAGGAGTCCGGTACATGCTGCTGTACATGGCAGCGGCAGCTGCCGCCGCTGTCGTGCTGTCCATGCTGCCCAGAAGGCTTGGGTGATAGAAATAAGGCGAAGGAAACATCCTCTGCAACGCTGAGTAGTTCCCCGCCTCGGCGAGAAGCTCCAGGCCCACCGCAGTCTGCCGCTTCCACTTGGTCCTGCAAGAAAGTGGGTGAGCGTGCAGCCTACGGCTGTGGGCAGGATCCAGGCACCAAGGCCCCCACCACTTCTCTGGTCTCCCAACTTCTCTCTGAGATGAACTGAGGCTCAAAGAGCTCTGGGAAGCTGAGACACACATCTCCTGCCCTGCCTTGTTGGCAATACAACCCAAACCCAAAGCGGATTTTGTAAACTACACTACGCTGGAGACGCTGACAGATAGAACCCTACAAGCTTTGCCACCTCTTCCAACCCTCCGCTTTGCTGTGCCTCCACCCCCCCCCATAATTTAGTTACTTCTTGAAACTTTCCTGGAGACCAAACGAGACCCCCTTCTTCCACAGACAGTCTTTTCACAGGACTGCCTTAATTCTCCTCGAGGTCCCCCAACCATCCCAAAGCCTCTGCTTTGGCCCCTCCCACTCTCCAGACCCCAACCAAAAAGAAACAGAAAATGTAAACAAAATCACCGGTCAGACCGGAGACTCCAGGGCGGAAACCCCAGCCCCTCTAACTCCCTGAAGCTTTGGACACAACTCTCTTATCAGGCTGACAGGTCCTTATAGCGAGCAGGGGGCTTAGGGTGAAGAGAATGACAAGCTTTCAAAACAAAATCCTTTGAGAAAGGATTCTCCCATGGGGACAGTATCCCCTGGCCACTCTAGGTGGAGGGCAAATGCATTTCACCATACGTCCTCCTTAGGAGAAAGTAACAAAACCTGTAATCAGTTTTTCTTGCTCTCCTCCCTCCCTCGCTGCACTTCAGCACCCTGCTAGGAAGAAGAGGGCAGCAAGCTTTTGCTCAAGTCCCTTATGAGGGATTGCAAGGCTGGTGGGCCGTCCATACCCCAAAGCTCCAGCCAAATTAATAAACATGTCGCCCATTTTAAATTGGCTACAAATGACACTAATGTTTTCCGACAGAATTAGGGTGGCTGAAACCGTATGTAATGAGACAGAAAATTATGGTAAAGATGACAACTGGATGGGCATTTCCAACCGCACTTATGGACGATTAGAACACAAACGAGAGGAAGGGGCGGGGGAGGAAATCAGACAAGGGAGCTGAGCACCGCCAGGCTTGCAGACAGCATAACCTCGAATCAGACAGCCCAGATTCGGACCTACAGTTTGGGGCCCTGCAAATTCCGGCAGCCACTTTCTTAGTTTCTTTTACACAAAATCACTTGGTGCTGGGACAGCTCTGTGGCACCCTTTCTCCCTATTTGAGACAGCAGAGGCAGTCAGTACAAGGGACAGGCACCCCCTCCCCCGAGGCCGGATGCTTGGCCAGCTGCCTGATCTCCAGCCAGCGGCAGCAACCCAATTCCAACCCAGCTGGGCTCTCCCAGTCTCCCAGGCTGTATGGGACCCTGGCTCTCCCCACTCCCACACATCTAAGCAGAGGCTGGTGGGATAGCTCTGTGGGGACTGCAGTAGCTGGGCCTTGTTGCCAGCTACAGACATTTGGAACCAGCCTAGGGCAGACCCAAGGGGTGCACGGCACACACAGGCTCTCTGGGCCTGAGTGTCAGCTGCACAGATGTCTCAATTTGAGAAGGTGTGGCTTGACTGATCTGGGGACAAAGTGTGTGTGGGAGGGGGCAGTTCCAGCAGCTCAGATTTCAGAGGGAAAGTAGCACCTGTTAGGACACTTAGAAGTGCAAAGCTGCCCAAACTCCAGCTGCCCTTCGGTTCCTCTCACTTGGTGGTGCGGCTAATCCTCACCTTCTGCCAAGGGTGAAAACCCCAAGCACCTACTTTAGGCCCTCTCACTCTCAATCCCTAGATCTCCAGAGAACAGTGGGGAACAGCCAGATGCCTCTGCTCCCCTGAGCAGCCTTCCTTACCTGCGATTCTGGTACCAGGTCTTGACTTGGGTGTCAGTGAGATTGAGTGCCGCTGCCAGGTCCATGCGGTCCTGGACACTCAGGTACTTCTGCCGTTCAAAGCTACGCTCCAGCTGATTGAGCTGGTGGTCTGAGAAAGCTGTCCTGGCTTTTCGAGGCTTCTTAGCTCTTACAGGGGGACTCTCCCGGCTACTTGTAATCTCCCGGTCTCCTTCCTCCTTTGTTCCTACGATAGAAACCGAGCCACAGCCACGTAAGTTAGCCTGAAATGGGAAAGGGTACAGTGTCCTGGCACACACTTCCCTATTCCCAAGCTAGCCACTGATCCTGGGGTGCTGCACTCAGTCACCACCCTCACACACTCTTACTTGGGCCTTAGCCAGTAGGAAGGAAAGGATTGTTTTCTGACAGGGGAGTGCGGGGCCTTGTGCAGAGATCCTGCAAAGGTTCTGAAAGAGTCTGATCTTCTTATGGTTGAAAATTAAAAGTTTAAAAAATATTTTTCAATAAAGCTTTTTTTTGTTACTGTTTTTCCTTGATTGGGGGAAACACTGTCCATTTTTAAATTGTTTTCACTCGGTTTTTCTGATTTGATTCGTTTCAGAGAGTCCGGTGGGGTTTTTGTTTGTTTTTTTGTTTGGTTTTTTTTTACCTTTTTCACTTTACTTTTTTTCTGTTTACTGAAAGTTACAGGCACTTGTTTCTTTCTCAGATGCACCTGGGAAATGTTGGAATCAAGCTTTCTGCAGCTGCCTGCACAGGATCTTTTAAAGCTCCCAAAACAAATGTGTCACCCAGACACTGAACTGAGCTCAAAATTACCGAGTCTATCCAGGTGACAGTGTGGAGATTTCCGGATTCTATTTGTCAACTTTGGTTTTTTACTGAAATGCTGGGAAATCGATATGTCAATCCCTCTCTGTTTGTACCCGTTTGTGCAGTGCTCCTTGATCTTCCCTGCAGGAAGAACAATAATCTCTCTAATTGACCCACTGGGGAGGTTGGTGCAGGAAAAATCGCCAGACCAGACTGTACATCTGTTTTGGGCACTATTATGCTAATGCTATAATAGTAAAATGAGAAGTAAATTCCTACCTTCCAGACAGTCAGTACATCTCTTGACAAGAGAAGGATTAATAATAACTTATTAGTAAAGGGAAAAAAGAACCTACTTCCCTCGTATGTTACAACTCTTTTCCCAAGCAAAGACCTGAAGAACACTTAATTATAAGACTGAGAAGAAAATGGAAAAGGGGAGTTAAAGGATAATTCCCATTGTCATCTGATTTCACAAAAATAAACGCCATAAAATTTTACATCTATGTTACCTCACCATCACTTGTAAGAAGCTAAACATTTTACTAAAAATAAAGAAATTTGACACCATTGGGTAAGAAAGGATTTTTTAGAAACTGACTATGACTTTGTACTGGCTTCTCTGTATTAATCACTAATTTATTTAAGTTACTCTGTTAATTGACTGGGAAGTTTTTCCTTCATTAAATCCGATAATTCTTGCGTTACAGTTTAGAAAATATGAAGGACGCGGACGTCTGCATTAAAGAATCAACATCAGGTAGTGATCCCAGCCCTAGGCACCAGGCTAGCCCAGCAGCGTCCCTCTCCCACCTCCCGCGTTCCCATTCTCAAGGTCTCGGGTAGGAAAACTGCCAGTCGGTCCCTTTTATCAGCGAAAAGTATTTCCTTTCACTTTTCCTCGCCGCCGCCTATCTTCCCAAAACATTAAAATTACGTAAACAAAGAATAAGGCTGGCTGGCGGCGAAGATCGAGGGGCAGAAATGAAACAATAAACAGAACTTCGGCCGTGGGTCTCTAAACTGCACGGCCAGGCCTCTCTTCGGCTTTGCTCTCTTTCCACCAGGGCCCGAGACGCTCCCAGAATAATTCCTCGTCCGAGATCTGCTGGCGGCCTGCGCTGGGCAGGGAACCTGGAGAAGGAGAAGCTGGACGGCGGCCGGGCGGCACGACTCACCGTGGCATTTGATGTCGCTCTGGGAATCTTCCCGCTTGTCCAGTTTGGTTTTGCTGTCCTCCTGCTCCAGCTTTGGCCTGAAGCTCTCGTGCGCTGCGTTGCTCTCCTGCTTCGGGGTGTGGTGCGGAGAGGAGACGCTGGTGCTGTAGGGTGCACACGCCGCCAGAGGTTTGCTGTCGCCCAAGATGTCCTTAATTAAAAAAGAAGAGGTGGAAGTCCTGGGGGCTGAGGCAGCCGAGCCCAGCTGCTGGGAGGCTGGCGGCGGCGGCGGCTGCTGTTGGGGCGAAGGCTGCAAACTTTGCGTCGGGGCCGGGGCTGGCGGCGGCGGCGGAGGCGGCTGGCCGTGGTGGAGGTGGTGGTGATGCTGGGGCCCGTCCGCTACCAGATGAGGCTCCGGGGGCTCCATGGTGACCGAGATGGGAGAAGAAGGCGCCGTTCCTACGGTGTCAATCTCCGAGCAGGGGGACGGGGTGGCCTGACTCCTAAAATCCGCGGTCCTCGCCTCCCCGAGCGGGCGGAAGTCTCCGTTCATCATGCCGGGGCTGCCCGAGCTGGCACTAGACAAAATTGTGTCTATTCCAAAACTAGACCCGCTGGCCCCTTCCATTGTTGTCATTTCTACATGAGGTCCACGCCACTCCGCCGTTCGCCAGCCGCCCTAACCAAAAAAGCACAGGAAGCTATCGATCGTAAAACAAAATAAACGACAACGCCGCCGCCGCTTTAAAACAGAAAATAAAAAAGTGGGGCGAGAGCGAAGCAGAATAGGAAGGTGACAATCGGTGGACTCTTTCGACGCAACTTTTTCCCCTTTATGCAAAAAGGAGGGCTAGGGAGAAAGACGAGGGGCCAGGGGGACTTACCAAAAAAATTAAACTAGGGAAAGCAGGGAGCGAGCGCTCCGGGGACCCCGCGCACGTGGGGCGGCGGCGGCGGCGCAGGGACCTGGCGAGGGCGCGGGCGGCCGAGGGGACCCGAAGCCG